CATCCCCCGCTTCATATATGGAACCCCAAAATGGTTCTATATAGAACCATTTTTTTGGTAAAAGGTTCTATTGGCCAAGTACGGAACCCCGGGGTTCTATATAGAACCCAGAGGAACCCTTTTTTAAGAGTGAACCTTTTAGGGGTTCCAAATACGTAGCGCTGATAGAACCTTTTAAGGTTCTATAGAGAACCTTTTCTTCTAAGAGTGTAGTAATGTTTGTGAGTGACATTCACGGATGTTACTCCATGTTGTAGACAACAAATCAGTTTTATTGCCGCTACAAACAAATATTTTGGAAGGAAAAGTGTAAATCTAGAATGGAATCAGTACATAAAATGCATATGAGAAACAACGAGCGCTCTTTGCCATCGCGGCTATTTAACTGCTGCAAAAGTGCCGGTCTATCTGAGTTCACAAAACCATTCAGGCTCGGAGTCAGCATGGCAAATACCTCCATGTACACACGGAGACATAGCATAAATTATAGGAAAGTTTCTGACTGCTGAAATGAGCTTCTCGTTCATCTAGCCTCGGTTGGACTCGGCACTGAAGAGTGACGTATCACGTGGGCTCCACTGACTTCACTCCTATTGGTTGTCGCTTCAGAAAGTCGCTCTTCATTTGCATAAAGTTGAACATATGGACACGCCCAATCCAGTGGTCACTGTCGCTTGTGTCGCCGGAAATCGACCGCTCTCCATTGAAATGAATGGGATCCTGTCGCTTTATCTCTGGTAGTGTGAATGCACCTTATCGCAGATTCTGTTTCATGCTGACTTTAAACCTGCAACAAGGATATACTTATAGTAGTCAGTGCTAGAAATATTTATACACAATTTGAGGAACTTGAACTTGCCATTCACGAATACAAACAAATGAAGATTTCATTGCGTCTCCCACTTTTGCACAAATGGGATAGAACTGACCCTAATCGTGAAACGCATGGATCTGATACTGATATAGCAGAGGAACTACAACATGTCATCAGATTAAGGGCAGTGTTGATGGGCTTATATCCCCGTGAATTTATGAGCTATGGAGTATCAACAATGAAAAGATGATAGATAGATAGATAGATAGATAGATAGATAGATAGATAGATAGATAGATAGATAGATAGATAGATAGATAGATAGATAGATAGATAGATAGATAGATAGATAGATAGATAGATAGATAGATAGATAGATAGATAGATAGATAGATAGATAGATAGATAGATAGATAGATAGATAGATAGATAGATAGATAGATAGATAGATAGATAGATAGATAGATAGATAGAGCTTTAGGTTTATTTTACTGCATTGCTATCTACCATCCACATTTGACAAGTCTTTTGCTCACATCACGGTGCATCTCTGCTGTACAGAAATGCATCAGTGCTTCAGGTACTGTGTCCCCCAACACACACACACACACGCTTATGCACACCCCTCTCCTTAAAGTAGATCAGTCACCATGGAGATTCCAGGCAGGGGTGTCCACAGTCACCAATAATGGCAAAGCATGCAGGGGTTGGGGGTCACCCTGAAGCCCCCCCCCCCCCAGCCCCCACCACACTTCGCCCCATCCAATAATATTCTCTTGAAGGTCAGGGAAATGTTGACACTGCAGACCCAGTTAAAACAAAGTGTCTGTGTAGATGTGCCACTAGGCATGCTTGTTTCAGGTGATAACCAATACCAATCCTGCAACAAGCACAAATACTCCAACATCACCTTCCTATAATCAAAGAAGCAGTGAGGACATCCAGTGGTGAGATGGGTGGATGAGACTGGTAAACTACAGCAAGCACAAAGAACATGCACATTTCACTTTTGGTCCGTTAGACCCGAACAGATAATTTACTGCCACCTTCATTTTAAACCATGTGATGCTTAATAAAATGTAATTTTTTCATTCATACATGACTGAATGTGTCCAGTTTATGAAATAACAGGTTAAATGGGAGGGATTGCCTAATTGCAGGGCTGACATTTGTATCCTGTAAGATTCACTGAGTGGTCCACAGTAACCCTCTGCAAGCATTCCAGAATGAGGTCAACAATCCATCCAATAATAATCACTGTGCGCTGTCATGTTGTGGATGTTCTACTAGCATGTATCTTATCTTCTAGTGTGTTACTGTATACTAGTATGTGTATACAGTATATATATATATACATATATATATATATATATATATATATACAACGTATATATTTACTGCCTAAGACTTGAAAGATGACCTGATGATTGGAGGAAAATATATTTCAATATTAGAACAATAGACATGCATGGCCTTCATGTTGGGACATCTTGCCGAATGCCACTCTTGACTAAGAACAAAAAGGCCAACTTAAATATGCTAAATGGATAGACCTGTGGAGTTCTGGAAGAATGTTTAATGGAGTGATTATGACCAAACTGGAACTTTTTGGACCTGTGCATCAGCATCTGGTGCAAAAAAAAAGGCAAAGCTTCTGAGCAGAAGAACTTACTTGCCTGGTTTATACTACTCTGAGCAATGTTTGAACTTTGTATTTGGAGCACTTCTTGTGTTGTTATTGCCTCTCCACAATGACTTGTTTTGATTTAGTCCTCAGATGTAAGTCGCTTTGGATGAAAGCGTCTGCTAAATGACTAAATGTAAATGTAAGAACACATCTTCATGGTCAAACATGGAGGTGGTCCAGTTTATTTTATGGGGGTGCTTTGCTGTTGCAGGAAGTGGAGATCTTGAGTGGACAACTTGACTTTCCTGTAGGACAAGTATTTATCCAAATCTACTTGATCTTAGTTCAGGGATCGGAACGTTCTTGTATGGGCTAAAAAGTCTTCAGATTTAAATTTCATTGAAAATATTTGGTGGACTTTGAAGAAAACAGTGGTAATGTAAAAATCAAAGATTATAAGTGATCGGGAAGCTTTTTTAATGGGCCAAGATTGCAGTAGAGGTGTTTCGGGTTATAAAGAAGAAAAGTTCTGCACAAATTGTACTTTGCATAATTTGTACATAATTGTTTAGTCAATACGATGTTTTAAAATTTTTCATTAACTTCACGTTCCCAGAATCACTCAAATGTGTAGTAATAAAATTTTCTACAATAGTGTACTGATGCCTCATAAAATTTTGTTTTCGGGGGTTGAATAATTTGGATTGCAACTGTATGTATGTATGTATGTATGTATGTGTGTGTATATATATATATATATATATATACTATTTTCAAATAATCAGGAACAGTGTAGAATTGTTAAACTGTAATTCACAGTCCAGCACAGGTGTCCACCTGAACCCCATGTAAAATCACACAAAACAGCCACAATTAGCAACTGTGACATCTCAAATGAGCGTGTAAAACAGATTCCGACAGATGGGACACTTGATGTAAAAAGAAGAGATTTTATTTATGAGCAAGCAGTGCGGATGGAGAAATGAGGAGAAGAGAGGCGCCGGACATGACATGGGGGTGCAGGTCGCCATGGTGTTGCTGGGGGAGACGGTGCAAGACGTCACTGCGAAGGACGGCGGGACACAAAGAGAGAATACAACTAGAAGAGGGGTGAAAAAGTCCAAGGGAAGGGAGAGATATAAGGGGGCAATGCTCAAATCGAGAGAAAGGCAGTGAATCTGTAAGAGGGCACAGTTATTTATTTGCTTGCTGAGGTGCAAGAGAGTTCAGCAGTGAAACCAGACTTTAAGTAAATAAATGTAATAAATAAATAAATAAAGTCAACTATCGAGATCTATATTGACTGAGAAATGAAGTCTTACATTTTTTTTGTTTTAAAGCAAAATAATGCTCCATTTTACAATAGAATATAATAAATGTTTATTAAAAGTAGTATGAATGTTTTTGCAAAATGTGTAGATGACATTTGTTAGGTCTTTTTTTTAAGACAAAGGACACATGGTTGTCAAATACTAGTGAACATGTCCAGGTTTATATAATGAAGGGGAAACTGACTTTATACAACCACTAAAAGTCATCTCAAGACCAAGCAAATTAAAATACTTGCAAAAATATTTTTTAGTTTATGTTTAGGTTTATGTTAGATGCCACTTGGTTTAATCTATTGTTTCTACTGCATTTTAAACTGTGACTTAGTACTTTTGGGGCCACAGTAGATGCTTGAAATCCAAGATCTTGTCCTAATGCTCTCTCTCTCTCTCTCTCTCTCTCTCTCTCTCTTGATTTATTTGCCTCAGTTCTAATATTTGTCAGCACTGTGTTTTCTTCTCCTTGTCTAAATGTCATCCCTTCTTCGAAGACAATATGGAGAGAGAGAAAAAGAGGGAGCAGGGCAGAGGGAGGAAAGAAAGGGGGAGGGGGGACACTCGTAAAAAGAGCAACAAAAGTTTGGGAAAATTAAACATTAGGTAAGACACGTTCACACAGACCCATTTCGGGACAGGTCTGAGCACTTCTGCTGTTCTATCTATCAGGTTATTTATTGTTACGACACATATTTCTCTGTCAATTTCCGCTGGCTTTCACGCACATCTCTTTTGTGAGAGTCTCAGGATTTAAGGGCAACATTTTCTGATGCACCCTTCACTGATACTAGGTAACAGATGCTCAAGTCACATGCATTGACAAAAGGAATTCCCCCTCTCTCTCTCTCTCTCTCTCTCTCTCTCACACACACACACACTCAGACCTGCATATGTGTGCATTTAGACAGTGATTTGGCACTAGACTTTTGGTCAGTTGCCCTCTTTTTGACGCACAACACAAATACAAACACACAGTTGAGTGTGTTAGCATTTGTAAAATCCCACGAGTTGAAGGCACCATCCTGCAGGACTCATTAAGCAGAGGTCACATATTACGTCCAGAGTAAATTGGACAATGAGTGCAAGCTCATCCCTCAATGTTAATGTACTATGGCCGAAACCTTCACCCCTCCCTTCTCTGAGGTCTCCAACCCTCCCACCCTTTATTCATCCTTCCTTTATAACCCCACAACCATCACTTCATCCACACTTATCTGTTTTTTTTACATTTGGAATTGCTCATTTTGGTGGACAAATTGGATTACTTACTTTTTTCCCCCCACATATACTAACACAGAGATCTGAAGGGAATGGAAGTGCTTTCTTAGGATACCAATAGAGTTTGTATTTTTGTTTCTTTATAGCTTTTCAAGTTCATCAAAGAAAATGGGAGATCAAAAACGGATTCTAATCATTTATCTATACAACTAATACATTTATTTTTCTTGTCCTGATTATTTTACTCAACCAAAGAGATTTTGAGATATAGATTTTTTTTTGTCATGGATGAAAATGCCTCAAGATGAATATCTCTCTCCGTGTGACAATAAGATTACAACTTAGAGGCATTTTATCTTCAAAACATAAGTGGAAATAATTAAATTTGGAAAATTGACAGATCTGGAACTCGATTTAAACGGTTCGTCGACAGGAGTGTTTTTTATCCTTTTGGACCTCAAAGTGGTAAAAATGTAACCTTTGTCTTTTGTAGTGATTGACTGAGATTTATTTATTAGAGATTCATTTTTATTATAAGAAATGTCACATTTGAAACTTCTCTTTAATTCATTGTGAAGGCTAATTGTTTTGTTTGAATTATTTATTTTTAATTAATTAATTGAATTAATTATTTATAAAATGTAATTAGCAATATTATTAATTGCTAATTATATTTATTACAAAAATGAAACAATGTAACAATTCAGTAATGTAATTTCTGGTCTATTGATTTTGACAGATATGAGGGGAACAACCCCAACGTAACAGGCACAACTGAAAGAAACACTGTTGAACACTAATTCAGAGATAGACAGGTAGACAGACAGACAGGCAATCTGATGCCAACGGTCTCCTCAGTGACACTCACGGGACGACTCCTCCTGCTGTTGCTATGGGCACCCCACCTCACCATGGCAACCAACTGGCTGTAAGTTGGCTTGTGTGAAAGCACTTGTTTGTTATGCCATAACTTGTAAAAGATAGTGACATATTTTTTTCTTATACACTTTCTTGGTTTCTTTTAAGTTTGTTTCCTCTCCCTGTTTTTTTTATTTACCTCTCCCAGAGCATTCATTGACAAAATGTCATCCTTTTATTCATATGCCAACTTTTTCTCGGACACTATTTTTCAGCTTTGTGTTTGAATTATTCTCCATGTTCTTCTACTACGCTGTACCTCTCTCTTTGTAGTTCTCTGGCACGTCTGCCACGCTCGCGTCCTGTGTCTGGTGCCGAACCATGTGGCCGTCTGAGGGGATTGTCACCAGGCCAAGTCGGGGTGTGCCGGGCACGGGGGGAGGTCATGGAGTCCGTGCGAAAGGCAGCAGAGATGGTCATTGATGAGGTGAGAGAGCCTGAAACACAATGACTCACAATGATACTTTTGTTCTACCATTTATTTATTCAAGGACATAATGGCAAAAAAAAAAAATGAAATCATGTCAAAAATATACAAACAGAAGGTCCTTTATCACACTATTTACTATATTTCTTATTTTGCAATATCAGTTTTGGTTTAGTCATGGCTACCAATAAGTATTGTAAATTTCTACTGTCATTGTCCCAGAAAATAAATACAGTTCATTAAACTCACATAGAACATTTTGTTCTGTCTATTTCTTGTAACAAGAGGTGTAAAGAGTGCCCAAAACCCATACTTAAGTAAGAGTGAAGATACCTTACAGCGAAAATGACTCCATTACAGCTCTGCAATCCTACTTGAGTAAAAGTCTTAGGCATAGTTTCACAGACAGGGTTAGATTAAACCAGGATTAGGCTTTCGTTCGTTGGAAAAAACATTGCTGGTGTTCATCTTGAGACAAAACAATGGCACTGACTGACATGTCAATAGAAATGGCTTTCACCTCTACCTTTTAGTCTGGGATTAGACTCTGTAAAACACCAGGGGCTTGACTATCTACAGTAGGCCTACGTAGCTTAATAACAGGAGTGTTTTACTCGTGCTGAATATAGGCTAAAATATGTACTAGTCCTAAACACATACGAGATATGCCAGTGAAAAACAAGAAACAGTTGATTTAAGGGGAGATTTTGTTTTCTAAAATCAAAATAAAAATCTTACTGAACACCTAGCTCGATATTGCAGTTAATCAAGGTCGACACAACAGCCTCTTAAACGTCAACAAACACGGCGACGTTATATATATCCTTCAATATCCAACATGCATAAAAATATGAAAAAAATGTTAAATAAAATTAAATAGTACTTGCACTCTACGTGTTGGGTTTCGGCCTCATCACCAGACAGCCATGTTCTCATCTCGTATTTGCTGCCATTCGCGAAAATGAGCCTTGCTGACAAGTTTGAATGAATAAGGGCGAAACACACAAGTTAACTTTAGTATCTTTAATGCCCTGTAGACGGTGATATCGCTTCTTTTGTCGTAGGTAGAAATAAACTGTTGCAGTAAAAGTTAGAAGCCATGCTAAATGTAAATAAGGAGTAGGCTACTTGTAGCCTGGTTAGGCTATTAAAAAAAAATAGTCAAGAGAGTAAAAGTTGCTAACATCTTTGATGCTCAGTCAAACTACAATGTTGCCAAAAATATTGTTTCAACAACAAAAAAAAAACTTTAAAAAATTCAATTTAATCGTGTGCTACTATATTTCAAGAGGAACTCACATGTGAACATGTCAAAAAAATTAAATTTCAGATGCTACTTCCCTGCCTGGAAAGTAGTGAAACCATGTCTTATAGTGTTTCAAAAAGCATTAAAAACGTTGTTTCTTTCTTTGAATTCCAAATCAAGGATTATTTATCCACAAGTTTCCTACGCCCCATGAGGCCTTGCGTCAAAAGTGGGCGCGACTTCCGGTTGGAAGTAAACAAAGCGAGACTTGACATGCTTGATACTCGTTCATTCAACAGTTGACAGTCATTCAAGTTATAGCGATCCAAACTAGCTAACGATGTGGGAACACAACCTCAACGAAATTAAAAAGGGTGAAATAAAAGTACCTTTACCCTCCGCAGTGTATTATAATAACATTATTAATAATCAATACTCATCAAGGCATGGTGACAGACAGTTGTGTGAGCTGACAAACAATTAAAATAAAAAATACACACTTAGTCATTGTGCTTTGGAGTTTATTCAAAATTATAAATGAATGTGCTACTGGAATACATTAACTGGCACATTTGGTATTCTGTCAACACAGGCTTTGATCCTGAGTTTAGGTGTAACATCAGTAGCGAACAGCCAAACACATGCTGATAGAGTTTATAGAATATTAAGAATTTAAACAAATGTACACAGGAAGATTCGTCGTCTTTTGGGAGGTGATGGAAACTACAGTCGTTGGCAGGATCAGAGACGGGCTCTGGCAGGATCACTGTGATTTCGTTTTCAGCTTAGGCCTATGTTTAAGCCACTGAACTAGTTTAATCCGGTTATACATACAACCGCGAACAGCACATGTTGTCCCTGAGCTCCGTAACGACATCTCTCATAAAGATTTGCGTCTTTATATAGTAAAATAATTCTCCGAAAAACAGCTAGCCTCTTCGCTAACTAACCCACAAAATACCATTGGTATGCTACTTCCGCCGCGTCACCGGAAGTTTCACCCACTTTATTTTTTACAGGAGCGCCCCTCGGAAACTTGTGGATAGCCCAAGTGAAAATCAATTTTTTTTCAACTATTTGAGGCCAATAGGCAGTGGCATCTGACCTTCACATCATCACATCGTCCAAACTGTCATAGGATAATGCACCCAAAAGCCTGACTTCCACAACAATCGATGACTTATATATTATTCATCTCTGTCATCACCCTCACTGCTTCTATCCCTCTTGATCTTCAACTTCTTCCTTTCTTACAACCTTATTTTCTGATGCACTGTCATTATCATCAAATCTTTCTGGAAATGGTACAGCTTTTCCTCTGTCTTCAATAAAATTTACTAACATGGCAGACCAGTATTGAACAATAGTGCCAGCTACACAGAAAAAGTATCCTTTAAAAGGACTTAATCATTTATGCATGACACACTGTGCAATTAAATGAAATATATAAACAAGGATGTCCCATAGAGAGTTAAGTAGCCTACAGTAACTAATTACATTTACTCCAATAGTTTACATAACTGCTTGTGATTGCAAATAGCCCCGGTCCCATTTTAGGGTCACAAATGTTCCTAGACAACAAGTAAGCCCTAATCTTTAAACTTTATGTAACTTTAACAGTTTCATATCTGCATATATTAATTAAATCTGACTTATTTGTTCCATTTTAACCACTGCAGTGCCAACATCAGTTCCGAAACCGGCGTTGGAACTGTTCCACCACTCCTCGTGGGATCAATGTGTTTGGACGAGTCATGAACCAAGGTTACAATGACTGTCACAACATATCACATAGTTGATTGTGGTCTTCAAGGTCAAAAAAGTACCACTGTGAATTTTTGTATTAAATTATTCATTATTTACCCACATTCTTATTTTATTAATTTCACAAGCTGCAATCAATACAATCAGCTTTAAAGGACAACCCTGTTTAGCCTTGCTCAGTTTATGTGCTGTCTTCAGGCACCCGTGAGGCGGCTTTTGTCCACGCTCTTTCATCGGCAGCAGTTGCTGTGGCTGTGACTCGGGGCTGTAGCAGGGGAGAACTGGAGAGGTGCGGCTGTGACCGAAAGGTCAGGGGGATCAGTCCTGAAGGTGAGTTGTTGTAAAACATGTCATTAACAATTTCACACAGACAAAAAATATATTTGCCAAACATGTGCCTCTTGCTCACCCTTAGGTTTCCAATGGTCAGGTTGCTCTGATAATCTGTCCTATGGCGTTGCATTCTCTCAGACCTTTGTGGACGAGCCAGAGAGAGCTAAAGGCATGTCATCAGGGCGACCGCTAATGAACATTCACAATAATGAAGCAGGACGGAAGGCAAGCAAGATGTTTCACTTACTGATTGATATCAAAACTTATCACCAATTGCGTATAGTTTTTTATGGTTTTCTCTATCCTTGTCCAGGCTATCCTCCACAACATGCAGGTGGAATGTAAGTGTCATGGTGTTTCAGGGTCCTGTGAGCTCAGAACTTGCTGGAAAGTGATGCCTCCGTTCCGCCGGGTCGGTGCTGTGCTGAAAGAACGCTTTGATGGTGCCACAGAGGTATGTGTTACAATGGCTCCAGTTCCCTAGCTGTCTTCTAAAGCAGAATCCTAACTGAGATGGAAACTCACACTTTCTGGAATACTTGACTAAGGTAGAAACTGCATACTACACTGAAGTTTCAATAGAGTGCAATTGTGATCAGTCACTTTTTTAACAGCTTTAGTTTCGGGTTCTAATCAACGAGTTCATTTTATTAGTTTGAATAATTTCTCATCAACATTTCTAAGCACTGAATGAACTCCACCATCTTGGATGATTTTTGGTGTTTGTCGCAATGCATTCTGGGGCTACATTCTCTGTGAAGGATACTTACAATTCTGCATTAGAATTTTGCTATTGCCGTACTGTAGAAGGCAGAATAAATATGTGTATGTAATTTGACAAGTTCAAGGGTCACAGCCACACTTTCTGCTTAGGTACGGCTAACACGCGTGGGCTCTCGCACAGCTCTCCTTCCGCGGGACCCCCAAGTGAAGCCACCAGCCACACGGGACCTTGTCTACTTGGCTTCTTCACCGGATTTCTGCCGCTTAGACCCAGACAATGGCATTCCTGGCACTGCAGGACGACGTTGTAATGGTAAAAGTGTAAAAATCCAAATTACCGACTAAAATAATCAGTATAAAATTTCTTATTATTAATTCTCTAATCGATTCCCTGGTTTTACATGTCATTTCATTGCTCTTTACTAATCCTTATTTGTTCCACGTCCTAGGAACCTCACGGTTGGCACCAGATGGCTGTGAACTGTTGTGTTGCGGCCCAGGTTTCCGAGCAGGCCGGGCTGAGGTAGTGCAGCGCTGCTCCTGTAAGTTCTCCTGGTGCTGCTCAGTTCGCTGCCAGCAGTGTAAGAACACAGTGCTCATACACACCTGCCGAGAATGAGACATACCTAGAAAAGGCGCACAACCACCACCACCTCATCTCATGCCAGCCTGCATTAAAGTCCACATGATGAAGAACAAACCTCCACCATCCGAAACATCTTGCATCATGCCCTGAATCTGGTGAATTTAAAGTTATTTTAAATGTGACATTACAATTATTTTAATCTTCAATAGCACTTTTGTTGAAGGGCAATGTGTTGAACTGGAACACACAGACACCATTACATTTCTTAAATGCTCAAATACAGATAAAATACAAAAAACATTAACTAACTTGTTCAGACAACGCTCTTAAAGCCGAGATTAACCCCTGAATAACAGCAGGAGAGTAATGTTAGTTTAGTCTGAGGCGTTGGCATCAAATTCTAGTCTAGAGTTGCTCTATCCCTGTTTGCTGTGTTTATAATTTCTTTTCAGTTTTGCTGATTATGTTTATTTATTTGAGTTCATCATGCCTTTGTGGAATTATCTCTGGATGGAAAGTTCCACCTGCAAACTCTTCGGCTTCAGCTGTGTTTTGTTTCGGCTTGTCCTATTGCATAGACAGAGGCTTGTTTATTATAATTGTCTCTTTTTTATAATCCATATGGCTTAAAATAAAGTTGTTTGAAATCTTAAATGTGGAAAGTGGTTTTGTTTGTCAATTATGGATTGATACATTTTAAAGGAATATTTACAGGATTTTTAGTCGTATAGGAATAGGAATGTATAGACCATTTTGCAAGATGTAAACAACACTGGTCCAGAAGCACTTCCTGTTTCATTTTTTTAACACTACATAAAAGCTGGGATAAAATACAACCAACAGAACATATAAAACTGAATCAAAAAGTTAAACAAATATCTTTAAGATGTTTTCTTTACATGTGAAATAAAGAAAACAGTTACAAACGGAAACAGGAAGTGTTTCTGTACCAGTGTTGTTTACATCTTGTAAAATGGTCTCTTATGCTCATCTAGGCTACATTTATTGGACCATAAACAGTAAAATATAACTTCCTTTTAAAATGTATTTATTCCTGTGATGCAAAGGTGAATATTCAGGATTGTTATTCCAGTCTTCAGTGGCACATGATCCTTCAGAAATCCTTCTAATTGATTTATCACTAAAAAAAACACATTTCTGCTCAATGATTTTCTGGTTATATTTTTGTGGAAACTTTAACAGCACTAATTTGAAATAGAAATATTTTGTAACCTTTTAAATGTCTATACTGCCACTTTGATCAATTTATGCACCCTTGCTGAATAAAAGTATTAAATTCTTTAAAAACAAAAACTTGACCTCAAACCTATGGAAATTTACATGTTTTTACGTTTGTCTGCTGACACACACCACTAAATACCATAATAATCTAATAAGCAGGATACAAATACAGCCGTGTCAGTCGCACCACTTTTATTACAAATATAGTGAGATTCCAAACACCGCAGAACTTGACTAAGAAAAGGCCACATTTCAAACCGTCATTATCATCAGTTATCCTCCTTTTTACTTACACGACTGTTAAAATCGGTTATTCAAAATATTACATTTCAATTTGTTATTTTATTAATAAATCACAATCAAATGGTACTCTAGCAAAAAAAAAAAAATCATAAAAAAAACGTTCAAAATGCGTCACTACTAAATTCATTCACCCAAGAGAAAAACAGTAATACATTTAATACAACATACTCCAAGACAAAACAAAAAGAGAAAAAGGCAAAACAAAAACAAAAAATAAAATTCAGTTTTCTAAACGGCCAGCAGAAGGCACTGCATGGCTTGAGACTAAATGCACTTAAGAGATTCTAGGAGCATGAACCACAGAAGAAGAGAACAGTCTGGCTCATACAGGAAGAAACAAATGCTTGTGAACTAAGAATCCATTAGCTCCCACAAAACGTCCTAAACTCTCTTATAAACCATATAACACGTTACTTCGGAGGGGATGTGGCCATAGTGTGAGATTCCTAAAGCCATAACACTCTGATCCAACATTAAAACTGTTTTTAATAATTAAAATATCTAAAATTGTTACAGTTTATTTTTGAATATGTTCTGTTTCAACGCCATTGTCAGTGATTAGAGCTAATTATGCGCCCAAACCAATAACATTAGCTTGCTTTTGTGCCAGATCCAGTCCAGTACGCATCAACAACAGTAAGTGACCACATATAGGACAGAACCTGCCTAGAGGTGTCGTGCGAGTCCAACGTCTAGAACAGGCAAAAACGCAACATTAAAAACTGAAAACAGACCCTAAAGCAACACTAAAAGGCAAATTTGTCAAGAATCGCCTTTGTGCCCTTGGCAATTTTGCAATGTAGCGAAAATGCTCAACTGAAGAGATTCAAGAAAGCTGAAATCAGCTTACTGCACGCAACACTATCCACAGGTTACAGAGCAAATAGTCGAGCCCTGCAGAAGCACTCATCAGAGCGGTCAGCATTTTCGGCTTTACACTTCATAAAATGTGCTGTTTTTAGACATTGTGTGCTAACCACCCTTGTGCAGCTTAGAGCAAAGCATGTGTCAGGGACAAACCCGACATTTGTCCAGCAAAAGCATCTCAAATCATTCATTTTTGATGGCGATCAGAAACCTGAAGCATTTAATCTCATGTGTTTGTGCCACTGTAGCACATTTTTTTGGATCGATTACATGTAACTGACACTTAAAGCATTTAAGAGGATCTATATGTTGTTCTGTAGGCATCACATGCATACGTGCGCCTGTATTTTTTATATCTTTGTTTGTAGGGGTGTTATTGGTTACTGGGTTCTCTAATTTCTTCCGTTCTTCTAGAAACACTTAGAAAGGCACAGTGTGCATTTATTTGTTTGCAATACCATTTTTGTCGCCAAATTCCTCAAGTATCATGTTTTCTTTTTTTGCTGTTTTGTTCCCATTATTTTTCCCAATAATAACTCTACTCCAAATCCAAGCCTAACCAAACTTAAAAACCCCACCAGAATGTTTCCTTTTCTCTGCCTCTCTAGTTGGAGTGAGTGCAAAACCCACTGCTTGTGTTCCTACAAAAGGAGGCAGCGCTTCTTGGGTTTCGTCTCTGGAGGTTCAAGGGCAGCGAGTATCGCCTCGTCGAAAACATTCTTAAGGCCTCTCTGTAAGAAAGAGATCATAAAATGATACATCATTTGCAGTAGGTCACATGGGTGATAAATGAGGTAAAGCTGTTATGTCATCATAGGTGTGTGCGGCTGCTCTTTTAACCTGTGTGAGGGCGGAGCACTCCACGTATTTGACAGCTCTGAGGTCTCTGGCCAGCTTCTCCCCGCTCTCAGGCGATATGGGGCGCTGTTTGTTTTTGGCAAGTTTTTCCACAGTGTTACTGTCGTCCCTCAGGTCAACCTGAGTGCCCACCAGAAGGAACGGAGTGCGTGGACAGTGGTGAGAGATCTCCGGTACCCACTTAGAGAAAGAGAGGGTGGGGGAAATGAATGGTGAGAGTGTATAGAGAGCAATTTATCATGATAGCACAATCAGAAACAAACTACACAAATTACAAAGAACCAAATCTAGTCTAATTGATCCCTTTATATTATGGATGCATTGATACCACTTTCATTTTTGGTAATTGCCTGTATTTTCACTGCATTTGTAATTTTTTACGCATAAGAGTTCTTTCAAAAACATACGGTCAGGTCTTATGTTTTTTTGTTTTTTTAAAGAAACCAAGCAAAAATAATATGGCCCCTGTGGTCTCCCATACATTGCATTATGAACTTGTAATCTCTGCACTGTCCTTCTCTTACAAATTAATCTGTGATGCCAATTTCCACACATATTTTACTCTCCTGCTCCATAAGCAAATAAAGAACAAAAAAACTATATTATACAGTTTGTTAAGCATTAAAATACTTTAATACAGTTTCTTAAATAAATTGTAGGTGAAACATGTAACATGTTTAAAGTGAAAAACTACATAAATAGATCTGAAATATTTATTTGAGTTCCTCAAATAGGCTTTAAAAAGTCATTCTATAAAACCCAAAATACTGCAACTGATCAATCAATCACATATTCAAGATTATATATATATATATATATATATATAAAAACAAGTAAATCTTTAAATAATATTCACTGAAAATTTTAAATTACCCCATGACTTACAGTTATACATTCCTTCTGAAGTGAAGCGATGGGTTTTTGTGAGAAAAACATAAATTTTTGAAACTTTCTAAAAAAAAAAAATAATGGTAGAAGGGTGACCTTTGACTATAGGTCGACCGATAGTGGATTTTACCAATAACGATAGCAAGGTTGGACAATGCTGGCCAATTCTGGCCAGTTTTTAAAATGGATACTGAATGAAAACAAAAATAAAGCTCAGAGTAAAATTGTGCTGAATTTTATTACCGAAATTAAAAAAAAAACCCAGTACTGAACCATGAAAGTGTATTGTACTTTTCAAATATAAATATGACTATTAAATACCATTATCATTCATGCTAGTTCATAGTGAATTAACTAATGTTAACAGACATAACATTTAAAAATGTATTAGTAAATGTTAAAATCGAATGCATTTCTGATTTGTTTGTTTCTGGCGGCTGCATGAACACATCAACATCTCATGTCACTAGCTAGCTTTATATATATGTCACTTATTTGACAAAGGAATGCATAAAAGTGACCGGCTGGATTGATATAATGCAAACAGATGTTAATAATTGTGACAAACATTTGGGTCAGGCTTGCATGCGTTTTTGTCACATTGTTTAAACTGCTTGAGGTACTACTAATTAGCGTTAGCGTCCTTTCAGCCTTGACAGCAAACATGCTGCTGTTCTCCACTAATACAGCATCTAGTCAACAAACTTATTAATTTATAATGACACGATAAAACATAGGGTAGTGTACTGTATAACATACAGTTTGATTGTCTATTTTAAATTTGCATCTCCAGCACGCAGTCTCACGTGTCAAAACAAACTCCATGAGGCGTCAGTGATGGATTTTATTTTGCCTCTAGAGGCCGCTCTCGTACTGTATACTGACAGCGGACCCTTCTCAGCCACTCCAGCAACTGACGCAACCCAAAACTATCAGTATAGATTTTTTGACGATAACCGATTATTCCAGCGCTGCTCCAGCGATCAATCCATCTCTGAACCGACGTAGCCCCTAATCTTTTATATTGAAATTTTCAGACTTTTTCCCCATTACAACTTCTCATTTTAGACTTCTAATTTGTGACCAGCGTTTTGTTCAGCTCTGTCCTCTGCACTTCCACATCCGTTAAATCTTACCGAAGCTTGCGGTTTGATTACGTCATAAACTCGACTATCTTGTGAACGTATGTTTTCTTACAAAAACTCATTGCTTCACTACAGAAGGCATTTATTAACCCATTTGAGTCATATAGATTCCTTTTATGATGGATGGATGCACTTTTTGGAGATTTAAAAACTATTTCACTATTCAATGTCATAACAAAGGAGGGAAGAGCAAGGATATTATTTAATATAACTTTGATAGTGTTCGACTGAAAGGAGAAAGTCACACACATCTAGAATGGCTTGAGGGGGGAGTATTTTTAAGTGACCTGTGCCTTTAATGACTTCACACTATAAATCTGAAGAGAAAACGACTAAAAAAAATACAACATTTCTA